AATGTGTTTAAGATGCAGCCTGAATGTGACCAGAAAAATCCCCATGTATTTTGGGGGAAAAAAGGCCACTGCATTATAAAGTATCATTCTGTCAAGTAACTTATGTGAACACAAACTTTACCACACTACTTTTGAGAAAAAGGCTACTCTTAGGTGACCTGTAGGATTTCGTCTGCCTGTACATACACAGGTCCTCATTCCTTTCTTTCTTTCTTTCTTTCTTTCTTTCTTTCTTTCTTTCTTTCTTTCTTTCTTTCTTTCTTTCTTTCTTTCTTTCATTCCTTTCATTTCATTCATTGAGGCCTTGTTGAGCTCCTGCTTGTGCAAGTAACTTGTAATGTTAGGGAGATGGACCACAAGGCCACCCTCACCTCTTCTTCTTCCCCTTCCCTCTCCCTCTCCCCCTTCCCCCTCCCCTTCTTCTTCTTCCTCCTTCTTCTTCTTCCTCCTCCTCCTCCTCCTCCTTCTTCTTCTTCTTTTTCAACTGATTTATTTATTTAAGAGGCAGAGTTACAGACACAGAGAGAGGTCTTCCCATCCACTGATTCACTTCCCAAATGACTGCAACAGCCAGAGCTGGGCTGATCCGAAGCCAGGAGCCAGGAGCTTCTTCCTGCACACTTGCGCAGGGGCCCAAGCACATAGGTCATCTTCTACTGCTTTCCCAGGCCATAGCAGAGAGCTGGATAGGAAGTGGAACAGCCGGGACTTGAACCGGGGCCCATATAGGATGCTGGCGCTGTAGGTGGAGACTTAACTTATGTCATAGCACTGGCCCCCAACCCCCGCTTCTGACACCAGTTGTGATTTGCGGGTTCCCAGGACCTCTCTCGGGTTTGAAATTCTCTTGGAGGAGACACATTATGCACTGATCGCAGTAATCTTACAGGTTTGGTTTATTACAGCTAAAGGGTACCAGTGAAAGTGAGTTCAGCAGAGAGATGCACAGAACAGAGTCCACGAGGGTTCCAAGAGCGCACCTGCAGCAGCCTCTCCCAGAGCGGTCCTGGGTAGCACTGCTGGACTGCCGCGTAGCCACGTGTGTGGAGACGGCCAACCGAGAAGCTCACGTGAGCCCGGTTGTCCAGAGTTTCTACGTGGTTGACAGCCTGCATGACTGACATGTGTCCCCAGGCCCTCTGGAGGTCAAGTTGATACTGTGTGCCCTGTAAATCACACTGTTAGATGGTCCAGTATGGGCCACGGCCCCTGGGCAAGCAAGGGTGCTCTTATCAGGCCTGGAGAGTACCTCCCAGTAACTGAGGCAGAGGCCAGACTTCCCTCTGGCAAAGGTTAGTTCTGTTTTTCCTTTTCTTTTTAGCAGGAAAGGTTAAGTGTTCATTACACAGACATGTTCTAGGCTCCGGGGCTGGAGCAACCAGCGAAGCATGTATAAATCCCTGCCCTCCTGGAGTTCCTGTTCACATCTGCAATCATGCCCCGGGGGCAGGCATCATGGCACAGCAGGTGCCTGCAATCCATGTCTTATTCTGAGTTCCCTGTGGCTACTTCCTGCTTCCGATCCAGCTTCCTGCTAATGCACCTGCGAGGCGAGGCAGTGAATGATGGCCCGAGTGCATGGGTTCCTGACACCCATGTGAGAGGCTGAGTGGAGAGCCTGGATCCTGGCTTCAGCCTGGCCCAGCCCTGACTATTGTGGGGACTTAGGAAGTGGACCAGCAGGTGGAAAGTTTTTCCTTCCCTCTCTCTCTCTCTCTCTCTGCCTCTCCCCACCCCACTACCCCCACCCCCTGTCACTGTGCCTTTCACATAAATAAATAGAAAAATGTCCTTAAGTTGCCAACTCTAAGCCCCATTAGCCTGAAATACAACATAGTTTTCTTAGGAAAAATTCCTCAGGTAGTTATAAATTTTTTTCATGGATCCTTGCAAATATAATCCAAATGTTGCTCCCATTAGGGTCACTTTGTCTCTTGGGATCTCGAGGTAAAATAATAGAAGAGATGCTGAACACTTGCCCGTCAGCACTTTGTTCAGATGGGGTTCCCACAGACGAACAGCTGGGCGCCTAGTCCATCTGAGAGGCAGAGAGCGAGTGAGCGAGCAAGAGTGCTTCTGTCACTTCCCAAATGCGTGCAGTGGCTGGGCCTGGACAGGCTGAAGCTGGAAGCTGAGAACTCAATCCAGGTCTCATGCAGGTGGCAGGAGCCCAATTCCTTGGTCATCACCACTGCCTCCCAGGGTCTGCATTAGCAGGAATCAGGAGCCAGAGGCAAGTGTCTAACTCAGCACTCTCCCCTACAAGATGGGATGCAGGTGTTTTAACTGGCACCTTAGTCGCCCACCTCCTGAGTTAGAATCCTTTCTTTTGTATTTTCTCTCTCTCCTTTCTATAGTGGTCAAACCACGAATATCTTACCCTGCTCTTGAAGGGCTGCTAGCCCTAACCCTGGGCCTGTGGCTCCCCCTGGCCTCTCTGCTGGTGCCCACTCTGTCATTCCTGTTGGCAGTCCCCCTCAGGGATCCGGTCCATCTGACAGATCTGGACACATCTCTTCTCCCCCCAGAGAGACCGTCATCAATTGCTGCTATGAAGCCGAAGTAGCCTTAGAACAGAGTCTGCATCCGGGAAATAGGTACACCCTCGTCCAAGGCAGAGCTCGGATTCACAGGAATCCTGCCCAAGAGGGTGGCCTGCTGGCGGGGGAGCTTCTGGGATGTGCCACAGGAAGATGCCGGCGGGGGTGCAGAGGATGGAGCCCTGTCTACAGCGTGGAGGTGGCAGTCAGAGGAAGCTTCCAGGGAACCCACACGAGAAGGGGTCGGCGTTCAACCCCCTCCAAGCAGAGAGAGCTCAAAGTGGCCAGATGGGCGCATCAGCCCCGTGGGAACGCGTTTGCTCCTCTCTGTTCTCTCTCTCTGCACGCGTTCCCAGAGAGACCAAAGCTGCTCGCAGGAATCGGAGGGAGGAGCAATGAGAAAAAGAGAAGCCTGCAGTTTGCCTGTGGTGACCTTTAGCTCAGCGAGAAGGGCGAAGCCTTCCTCTTGACAGTGACCATGAACTGCTAACAGTCTCTGGTGGGTGTTCTGATGGGACAGTCCACACTAAGCTGTGACTGGAGGTAACCCCTGGCACACACAGGTGTGTTTCATGAAAGGATCGACTCTGGATGAGGACAGGATGTACAGACAGGAGAGAGGCAGAGATTTGTTCCTGGCACGCTGATCTTGCCTTCTCTGGCCCGCGGCGACCCCTGTGGCATCGGTGCCTTTGAGGTCTCGGCCCAGTGGGCGCAGCGTGATCAGCCAGGGGCGGCCACGGAGCCTTGTCTGTTTCCGGCTTGGACGATGTCCAGAGAGAACCGACTTTACCTGGGAGACTGTGGACTTAAGGCACAATGTTAGTGTTTGTTAACATTTGTGCTTCCCTCACACACGCTCGTACACAAATTCCTCTGCATTTTCTTGCATCTAGATGTTGTCTAGCTGGGTAAAATGGTATATAATTCAGCCTCTCGTGGTTTATTGCTATTTATCCCAAGTTCTGTTAAATATAAGGGCTCACTTCCCAACCAAGTAATTGTGAAGAACCATTTCTGGATTTATACTTTAAATTCATCTAAAGGCCTTTTTATTTTAAAAACCTGATCTGAGGATCACCAGAAAAGTTGCTCATGCTTGGTGCTTCTACCTGAAACTTAGTTCTCTTTCTCATTTGCTTCTCCCTAAGCAAAACGTTTAGGGATTCCGGAATTTGGTAAATGAAGGCCTGGGACAGTTTAATGTAGCTGTTAAATTAATTCATAACATTACAATCTAGTAGTGAAAAATCCTCTTAAAGCGATTATTATTTTTAAAAATGTTATGTATTTGAAAGGCAGAGAGAGAGAGAGAGAGAGAGAGCCCCCATCTGCTGGTTCACTCCCCAGATGCCCACAACAGCTGGGGTCAGGACTGAATTCAGGGGCAGGGAACACCGTCTTGGTCCCCCGTGAGAGTGGCAGGAACCGGATGACCTAAGCCATCACCCCATCACCATGGTCTCCAAAGGTCTACATTGGCGAGAAGGTCGGAGTTGATGCCAGGTGTCTTGTTGCGGGACATGGACTATTTGACCCCTAAGCTAAATGCCAATACTGTTTAGTAGTGTGATAATACCTACCGTGAGATCTAACCTCCTAGCAAACTTCATACTTATAATACATTGTCGTTTATGATAGGTAGAATCGAGGTGGGTACAATGACGCACTATGGTTACAGGTGCGATGGCTACAGGTACAGGAGACGACAGGTAAGCCCCAGAGATCTGAGCTCATCCTTTCTTTCTTTCTTTTTTTTTTTAACATTTATTTATTTATTTGAAATTCAGAGTTACACAGAGAGAGGAGAGGCAGAGAGAGAGAAAGAGAGAGAGAGGTCTTCCATCCGATGGTTCACTCCCCACTCCCCAATTGGCTGCAATGGCCAGAGCTGTGCTGGCCCAAAGCCAGGAGCCAGGAGCTTCTTCCGGGTCTCCCATGTGGGTACAGGGGCCCAACGACCTGGGCCATCCTCCACCACCCTCCCAGGCCACAGCAGAGAGCTGGACTGGAAGTGGAGCAGCTGGGTCTCGAACCAGCACCCACCAATATGACTTATTTTAACCAGAATTTGACTTTCTGTGAATTTTGGTGTTTGTTGCCCACCACCCACCCAAACTGAATGGCCTAGAATTGTTAGGTAGGAAGTCAGAAACAGCCTATGTGAGTGTGAGAAGGGCCTGAAGACCAGCACCCACTGCAGAAGCTCCGGAAGCCCAGCATTTTGCACTTCAAAGTCCTGCTCAGACCCTGACAACCTCCCAGGTGGTCCCAGCCCCCTCCCCCCCAAGGAGAGCTCCCAGAATTCTCTCCTCAGGACCAAAGGGGTTACCTGACCTGATAACAGGGGGTAATAAAACCTTCTCAGACACCCTAAGGGGAAGTCCCTCTGCTCAGCAAATCTGGGGAGGAATTTGCTAATTTCCACCCAACAAACCCTTCTGCCAGGACTCTCCACCCTCTGTCCTGGAGGAGAGGGGGAGGTGGGTAAACAGACTCCCTTAAAAGCCTAGGGAGTGCGCTCAGTCCTCTGCCTCTCTGCCGAGCTGTCTGCCTGTAACTTTGCTCTCTCTCTGTCCCTTCCATTCTGAACCCCACGGCTGCCACAGCCTTTCCTCCAGTGACAGAATCAATAGTGACAGAAGCAATGTTGATATTCAATCTCTCTAATAATTAAATAAATGAAACTTTAAAAAAGTATTCATTTATTTGAAAGGCAGTTCGAGAGAGAGAGAGAACTCTTCTACCCACTGGTTTATTCCCTGAATAGCTAGGGCTAGGCCAGACTGAAGCCAGGAGCCAGGAACTCCATCTTGGTCTCCCATAAGGGTGGCAGGGGCTCAAGCAAGTGGGCCATCATCATTGTCTTCCCAGGTACATCTGCAGGGAGCTCAGATACTTAATTCCCTGCTCCACAACCCTGGCCCCAAGAAATAAACAAGTAACCATGAGAAAATCAGTCCGGCAAAGAATAAAATGATGGCTAGTAACTCATAGTAACTCCTGCAGGCCCCTGAATGAGAGGCCCCGGGGCTCCGGGATGCCCAGGTTCTAAAAAGCAAGTGCACCAGTCTCCCCCTTAGCGGGACAGGCTGCAACCTCACCATCCCAGACAGCTCCCGCAGACTGCCATCCCCTCCACGATCCGCATCTATGAGGCTTCTCAGGTCTGCAGAAAATCCCAGAAACATCTCAGGAAAATCCTTTTTGCCAGAAAGAGGCTTGGGCAATGCGACTCTTGGCTCTCGCCTGGCAATTCCCAGGCTCTGCGGCGGGCGGAGCTTGCAATGCGTGCATTAGGCCACCAGAGGGCGGCAGGCCTCAGGCTGGCGCGCACGAGCGAGGTACAGGGCTCTGGGCCTCAGCGCACCCAGGTGCGCAGCTCGGCAAGGGAGACAGCAACCCGAGCCAGGAGGGTTCCGGAGACCCCGACCAGGGGCTTCTGGAGGGGCGCCGCGGCGGATCTAAAGGGGCCATTCCGGGATCCCCCCGTGGCTCCCGAACAGGGACCTGAAGGTAAGCCCCCTATTTCGGGGAGGGTAGGACTCTACAAGGGTGCTGCAGACCCCCGCTAGTGAATTGTGGTTAAGAAGGTGGATCGTGTAATCAGAACTTAGGGGAGAAGTTACGGGTCATATTGAGTCTAAAGAGAGAGAGGATTCTTTATAGACATGGTGAAGCCTGTGTTAAATAAGAAGGGGACGAGGACATCTAATCAACAGTTATCTACATTTCTTCGCTTTGTACAAACCTGTTGCCCTTGGTTTCCTGAACAGAGAACTCTAGGTTTGGAAACTTGGAACAAGGTGGGGAGAGAGATGAGACTGTGTTACTCCTTACGTGGGCCTGAGAACGTACCGATAAATGCTTTCTCTCTGTGGAATTTGTTGAGGGGTAGGCTCGATCCTGGTCATGAGACAGTTTTGACTAAACAGTTGGAAACTCAACGACATAGATGATCCCCCTGTCCCCTCTGTCCCCTCTGAGGAAGCCCCTCTATTCCAATCCAAAGAGTCAACTCACGTTTACAAAATACACACACGGCCCGGGGGGGGGGGGGGGGGGAGGAGCTTACTCCTGAGGAGGGGGATGATTGGAGGAAGGGGCTTTTGGAAACCATCAGGACCAGGGATTTTTTCCAGCTCAGGTCAAAGGATCCAAAAAACAAGCCTGATCGCTCAAAACGCCGCCTGCCTCCCACAATGGGATTTAGGGGAGCTACCGAGGGAATCGAGTTAAGGGATGAAGGGTTAAAAAGTTAGAAGCCGCTTCCCCCCAACCTCCTCTGGTGAACTTTCCTGACCTCGTTAGACTTGCTCTGCATAGCCATTCTCTGTAAAGTTAATTAGTCAGTAAATTACCCCAATGTGAGCGTAACCTTAGTTTCACCTAAGTAAGATAGAAGAAGTCACCGTCACCGTATATCTCTTTGCCTCCTGGAACTCTGACCCCACCATGTGTCCCTTATCGCCATTCAGCTGCATTCCTAGGTACCATCAAGGCAGTTCCTGCAATCTTGTGTGGCCCTCCCTTTTGGCAATAGGAGGCTTTTTGATACTCCCTGTATAGGCCATATGGTTCTTTGAGGTCTAGTCAGGCCCTTACTCGGTATCCTATACTCCCTGTATTCATAAATCAACTGATTGTAAAATCACTTAACTTGTATCAATTGTTTACTCTATACCACTGTCTGCTCTATGCAATGATTGATTTTCTTTGTTTAAACGTGTATAAAAACCCCAACCCAAGACTATTCGAGGCCGCTCGCCTGTACTGGGACGGGGGCCCCGACATGTCGGAACATCAATAAACTTTACCCTTTGTTAATTACATGAGAGAAGGTCTCTTGGAGCGTTTTTGGGGTGGCAAGAGCAATTCAACTCTAATTCGACTGTAACAGGGAGAGACCTTAGCTTGTTTCCCTGTAGTTGATGATGAAGAATGGGGGGCTCTCCCTCAGTGGGCGCCCTACTGCATATAAAGTTTTAAAAGAATCGGGAGCCCCTGTTAAGGACTGTGGACCAGCATCACCATGCTCTTCAGCTGGGTGAGGCGTTATCTAACAAGTAGCTGACTCCTTGTGTCTGGTTCTGGACAGCCCCGCTCCTGTTTGCTGGGGGAGGCTTTTTACTATGGAAGGTGAATATGAAGATACAGCTAAAGGAAAAGTCTCCCAAAATAGAAAAACGAATAGGAAAGTAACCATGTCGATGGTGATGGGAGAGGGGGATTGGGTACGAGCTAGTGACCCGCTTCATTTAGGAGCAGAAGGTTTGACCCAGTGTTCTGAAATTGCAGTTAATGCCTGGAGACAACTTCCTTGGCCAGAAGTAAACACTGCAGGTTCAGGATGTTATACAGGGTCCCGAAGAACCTTTTGAGGAGTTTCTCTCTAGGTTAGTTGAGGGTGTGGGTTGAGCAATTCCCGTGGAGGAAGCGGCAGAATGGGTGGTTAAGCAGTTAGCATATGAAAATGCTAATCCTGTGAGTTATTCCGCTCAGTAAGACAGGAAGCCTGAATGACTTTGTTAAGATTTATGCTAATGTTACACCTCCTATCTGCAAGGAATAGCTATAGCCACTGCCCTTAAAGGGCAGAGAAAAGAAGTTCAGTGGCCTACACACACCACTCCCTCTACTCCCGTAGGATTAGGTTCTGCTACCAATGCAGCTAAAAGCTCTCAGATGTTAATGGGGTCAGATGGGGCTCTCAGATGTTAATGGGGTCAGATGGGGCCGGCGCCGCGGCTCACTAGGCTAATCCTCCGCCTTGCGGCGCCGGCACACCGGGTTCTAGTCCCGGTCGGGGCGCTGGATTCTGTCCCGGTTGCCCCTCTTCCAGGCCAGCTCTCTGCTGTGGCCCGGGAGTGCAGTGGAGGATGGCCCAAGTGCTTGGGCCCTGCACCCCATGGGAGACCAGGAGAAGTACCTGGCTCCTGCCATCGGATCAGCGCGGTGCGCCGCCGCAGCATGCCGGCCGCGGCGGCCATTGGAGGGTGAACCAACGGCAAAGGAAGACCTTTCTGTCTGTCTCTCTCTCTAACTGTCCACTCTGCCTGTCAAAAAAAAAAAAAAAAAGGGGGGGTCCGATGGCCAAAGATCGGAAACCTTTTGTCCCTATGTGATTCCTGCCCTACCATTTACTTTAGGGGGTAGGGATATCATGTCTCAAATGGGACTGCTCTTATATAGTCCAGATGAGAAAGTCACGGCACAGATGTTACAAATAAATTTCAATCCTCATAAGGGTTTAGGAAAACAGCAAGAGAGGAGGCTGTTGCCAGTCCAGTAAAGGGAAATTCTGACAAAACAGGTTTAGGTTGCAGATCGGATTTACCCTAGGAGCCATTGTTGCGACAACAGCTGACCCCCATTATATGAACAAGAGAGGAGCCTGTATGGGTAGAACAATGGCCATTAACTTTGGGGGAAAAAATACAGGCAATTAATCAAGTAGTTCAAGATCAGTTGTCCTTAGGACATATTGAATTGTCTAATAGTCCTTGGAACACCCCTATATTTGTAAGCAAAAAGAAATCAGGAAAATGGAGATTTCTACAGGATCTTAGAGCTATTAATGCTACTATGGAAGATATGGGGGCTTTACAGCCAGGGCAGCCTCTCCTGTTGCCATTCCAAAGGATTTTCATATTATTATCATAGATTTACAGGATTGCTTTTTTACTATTCCCTTAGCACCACAAGATCCAAAACATTTTGCTTTTAGTGTTCCAACTATGAATTTAAAACAAGCCTTTCAGAGATTTCAATGGAGAGTGCTCCCCCAGGGAATGAAAAATAGCTCCACCTTGTGTCAGAAGTTTGCAGTGCAGCCTGTAAGAGACAGGTATCCTAAAACATACATTATTCGCTATATGGATGATATCCTACTAGCTCACCCAGACTTACATCTGTTATTACAAGTATTAAATGACTTGATGGTTTCATTGCAAAATTATGGTCTGGTGGTAGCCCCCTAAAACATTCAAACTCATCTTCCATTTAATTTTTTTACCTAGGAGGAATATTACATACTCAAACCGTATCTCATCAACACTTGCAATTAAGAATGGACTCCCTTAATACTCTTAATGATTTCCAAAAATTACTGGGTGATATTAACTGGATTCGACCTTTACTTAAAATTACTACACATGAATTAAAACCTCTTTTTGATACCTTGAGGGGAGACCTTAGCCCAACTTCAGAAAGGACGTTTACCTCTGAAGCAAGACAGGCCCTTATTAAAATAGAAATTGCTATTAATAAAGAGCAATTAGTATGGATAGATTACACTTTAGAGTGGAGTTTTATTATTATTGCTATTTCTTATACGCCCACTGGCGTGCTATTGCAAGAAGGACCTTTAGAATGGATTCATTTACCTGTTACAACTAGAAAGGTTGTTTGTCCGTATCCATCATTAGTGGCTTCTTTAATAATAAAAGGAAGATGTAGAAGTAGAGAATTGTTTGGGAGAGAAATGCATACACTTATTATTCCTTATTCTAAGGAACAACTACAAAATTTGTTGGAAAATAGTGATGATTGGCAAATAGCAATCCAATGTTTTACTGGTATAATAAAATATCATCTCCCTCCACATCCTCTATTACATTTTCTAACCTTACATCCAGTAATTTTTTCCTAAATTAACCATGATAGGACCCTTGCCTCCTCCAGCTACTATGGTTTCACAGATGGGTCTTCTAAAGGAAAAGTTGTTGTTATTGATGATCAAACTCATATAGAACAAATTGCTGGAACTTCCTCTCAACCAGCTGAAATATAAGCAATTATAATTGTCTTTAATCTACTTTACGATTGTTCCTTTAATTTGTATACTGATTCATCATACGTGGTCAAATTATTTCCTCACACTGAAACTGCCCACATCCCTTCTAGTAAACCTGCTATGTGCTCCCTTGCCTTGCAAACTGTTACTAGCCAACCCACTCTTTCCTTTCTCACGGCGGGTATTAGAGGCCATCCGGCTTGCCAGGAGCCCTTGGCTGATTCACTGACCAAAAATGTTGTTTTCAGCTCTTCAGGAAGTGGGAGCTAGTCATAGCTTTCATCATCAAAACGCACCTGCCTTGAGAAAACCATCTCAAATTCCCCGGGAGACGGCGAGGGCTATTGTGCGCAGTTGCCCAGCCTGTCCAGCACATATGCCAACTTGACCTATAGGAGTGAATCCCCGAGGACTAAGGCCCAGCGATCTTTGGCAGATGGATGTCACTCACGTGCCCTCTCTTGGTAGACTCCGTGTGTGCACCTTTGTGTTGCTGCATACTCTCATGTTATTAGAGCCAGCTAGGACGGGAGAGGCATGTAAGGATATTATACAACATTTATTTTACTGTTTTGCTTATCTAGGTATGCCTAAAACCTTAAAAACAGACAATGCCCCGGCTTTTACTTCCGCTTCCTTTAAAAACTTTTGTGCAACTTTTCACATCACTCATTCTACAGGCATTCCTTTTAATCCTCAAGGCAAGCTACAGCTGGGAGAGCTCATCAAAGATTAAAATCTCAAATCCGTAAGCTACAGCAAAGAGATTTAAATATAGTTCACCTCATCAGCTACTTAATCATACTTTGTTATTAATCATCTTAGTAATGATGCCAAAGATATTTCACCCATGCTTTGCCATCGGGAACCAGAAACAATTCATACTAGGCCCCTAGTCGTGTGGAAGGGTGTATTAACCGGGAAATGGAGAGGTCCAGATGTTTTATTGACAGATGGGAGAGGCGACGCTTGTGTTTCCCCCAGAACACAGATGCACCTGTGTGGATCCCTGAACGTGTTATTTGATCTTATGGCCCAAACACCACCGCTGTCCTTCACCACCCCCGGACATGACCACGACCGAGGACTGAGGATGACCCTGCTCAATCCTTAACACCGCCTTCTCCATGCGTGCCTGAGCCTTCCGTCGATCAACCTGTCCATCCACTTAACAGCTGGTGGCTTGCTCCACCACCCCGATGAAGAGCACGTTCTACTAGACAAGCAACCCCCACCAAGTGGGGACAACTAAAGGCTTTATCTCGTTCTGCTCACGCTCTTGTACGAGAGCAAGGATTGCCACTTACCCCAGACAATCTCTTTATTGCAATGCTTGTTAGCATCTCTCTACAGGTAACAACAGTAAATGGAGAAGGAATATATTGGACTTCCGTGCCTGATTCTCCTTTGTTTCATCCTACTGTATGGGCTCTACTGATGTAAAGATTTTTACAAATAATACGAAATTGCTGGGGGCTGGGGAAGATAATGGTATTTTTTAAAAAAAAATTATTTATTTGAGAGGTAGAGTTACAGGCAATGAGAGGGAAAGACAGAGAGACAGGTCTTCTGTCTGTTGGTTCACTCCCCAAATGGCCACAATGGCCGGAGCTGCGCCAATTAGGAGCCAGGAGCCAGGGGCCAGGAGCGTCCTCCCGGCCTCCCATGTGGGTGCAGAGGCCCAAGGACTTGTGTCATCTTCTACTTCTTTCCCAGGCCACAGCAGAGAGCTGGATTGGAAGAGGAGCAGCTGGGACTAGAACTGGAGCCTATATGGGATGCTGGCGCCGCAGGCGGAGGATTAACCTACTGCCCCACAGCACTGGCCCAGATAATGGCCTTTTCCTAAGAAAACAAAGCCCTCACCTTTCATACACTGGTCACGCTGACGGTACCCTGTTGTGTTTTAGTACCAAAAGTGAATTCCTTCAGGCTGCTTTGAAATTAGCTGTCGCACTCTGTTGGCTGACTTCCCACATCCTAACCCACATAAACACAATTTGTGGTCTCTTTCCTTTCTTGTTGTTGGAAAGCCTGACTTTGTAGAGAAATTAAGTTCTCATGTCCCTCCTTTAAATTTAGCTAGTAAGTGCCAGAGACTATTGTCTGGGGAAGAACATGTTTGGGACCTAATTGATAAAAAGGTAGGATTTCCTGCTGGGAGTGATGTGTTTTCTATCATCAAAGTTATGTTTATTATCCAAAGAATTCCTAATTCATACCTCGCAAACAGGTAGAGTGACTATTACCCCTGATAAAGGACATAGCTTCTTTGTTTCCTGTGAGGGTTGTATGATAACTAGTTGCATAGATTCGACTCTAGGAGCTGCTACTGTCCTTATCACTCATCAACCCGCTTATGTTACGCTTCCTGTTCATTTGAATGTACCATGATCCGGGTTTAAATGCTCTTCACTCTACATCCACTTCTCTCTGGAGACCTAAGCTGCCTTGATTGTAAGCATAATAACGTTAATAGGAATTTTAGCTTCTGTAGCTACTTCTGCTATAGCCTTAACCCAGTAAATTAAAACTGCCCAACGTGTAAACGATCTTTCGCATAATTTGTCAATAGCATTGATTCTGCAGGAACAGACAGATGGAAAGTTAGCGGCTCGCATCAGTGTTCTAGAGGAGGCTGTTCTGTTCATTGGTAACCAGATGTGAAATCTCAAAACCAGGCTTACAGCTCATTGTCGTGCTAATTATAAATGGATTTGTGTGACACCTTATAAATACGATAATGAAGCTCATCCGTAAAAAAAGGTTCAAAAACACTTATAGGACTTTGGAATAATACTGCCGTTGGCCTCGGTATTCAAGACCTAAAGACACGAATAAAAGGTACTAGTTTAACTGTGGTTCCTCAGGGACTGCCGCTGAAATCGTGAGGCAGTTCACTTCTCGCGTTTCTCCTGATGTACATTCCCAATCTGTATTTCCTTTGTTAATAAATGTGGGAATAAGCTTGCTAATAGCTTTATCTCTTCTTTTGATATTACCAGTCATCTTCAGATTGCTAGGAAGAGGCATCAAGGAGACTCACCTGGAATTAATGGCTTTAAAATTAAAAAATAACAAAGGGGGAGATGAGGAGGCCAAGGGAACTTTGGCTGTCTGAGGAGGTCACAGCAGGAGGTCTGTCTCCAGGGGAAGTGAGAGCCACAAGCTGCAGGCCTCTCGCTGGTTTTAGATGTGTTGATAATTACATTCTATACCAGAAAGCCAGAGTTTCCAGGTGGTCTCGCTGATGATCGCTATCTTCTTGGAAATCTAAAAGAACAACCTCTGCTCAAAATGACCTCACAGACGGTGGAGCTGTTTGATGGATTAAAGCCTCCTAGAGTAATTCAACCCCTTCTGATGCTGTTATCTGTAGTAAAAGCCTAGAGGGAATTCTAAGCTGTCAGGTGTATGGTATGCAGTTAGACCTGATGCAGGTTAGGGATAAGAGGGTCTTTGGGAAGGGTCTTCAGTCTCCTGCTATAATCCTCTTGAGAGTGTGTCTTGACATGGGTGAACAACTTGTAAATAAGTGTTAATAATTTAGGTGGCTGAGAAAAACACAAACAGTGGTAAATGCCTTAGTACGTGCGGCCTGGTGGAAAGAACATAAAGGAGTTACTGAAATCAGTGAGCGAGTCTTAAATGAGTTACTAAAACTAAATAATAGTGAAGGGTTATGGAAAGGACATGTGTGATGAATGGGTTTGTTTGAGCAGGGTGTTATGGTTAATAGTAAAGTTAAACCAAAAGGTGAATGTTCCAATCTTTGTAATCAATTGTTATAAAACTAGAAGTAGATGTTCCGATTCTTTGCAAAATAACCACTATGTTTTTTTTGTAATTGATTATTCTATAATTCAGAGCCATTTTGAGTCTCTGTTCTATTGTATTTTAAATATCAAGTAAATCTTTAAAATCAAAGGAATTGTTACACAGCTATGGAAGTCGGGGTTAGGGAGGGGTTACACATAGTACAAGGTCAATGGTTTAAAGTGGATGGAAAATAGACTTTGTTATTGTAAGGAAGAATCATTAACTCTGTAAGGATCATTAATGAATGGACATTTGCAAAATTTATGAGAACAGTAGAGAATGTGTAAAATGAACAGCAGATGTAACTTAGGATATAAAAATAAAGTCGGGTGCTCTCTCATCAGAGCCATGCCATCAGCCTTGCTGTAAGGGTGTCTCATTTCTTCCTGCGCCGACGCCTCCCACACCTTCAGGAATCCCTGAACCTCCCGTACCCCACCCCCGTCCCCCCATCCCACCTGCCACCCACTCGCACTGACAAGCTCCCGGGAAGGGAAGAAAAGAAGGGGAAATCGAGGAAAAGAAGTGGGGGGAGGGGACAAGGGGAAGGAAGAGGGCAGGGAAGGCGAGAAGTTGAGGCATGGGAGACGCCTCCCCCAGTGGCTAAAAGCAAGGTCACGGCCCTAAGCCTGGCCTGGCATCTAGCGTCCAGCGAGGCGGTGCTGCTCCCCCAGGCCCCCCCCCCCCCCCCCCCAGCGCTTTGTGACCTCAGCTGCGCTCCTGGGAATCCCTCGGGAGCTTTCGGAAATCCTCCCGCCCCGAGTGCGAGTCACGGGGTCAGGTCCAGCTTCCGCCGGCCTCAGAGGATCTTCGGTGGACGACACACAGATCACAGTGCAAGAGAGATTCTCCCAGTGCACTGGGAGAAGTCTCTGATGGGAGGTGGTGTGTGGATAAATTCTCTAATTCGAGTTGAAGTCTCCAAAGTATGGAACAGCCCAGCATTTGCAGGTAGAGAGCTCCTTTATGTATTTCATGAGGTTAGCATTGCCCTTAAAATAAAGATACAAGAATTACCTGAGAAGGGCACACTATGGTGAATCTAAATTACAAAGACAGATGTAAAAATCACAGGTTATTAGCAAATGGATTCCGGAAGTACATGGCAAGAATAATAGAAAATACTTCAGTGATTGCTGTGTGCCAGGCCAAGTTCTAAGTATGCTGCGATATCAACTGATTCAATCTTTGCAACAGTCCATGGGTTAGGTATTCTCATTATTGCCATTTTACAGATGGGGAAGACACATGGATCCTGGGCAGGCACTAGGCATAGTGGTTAGAATACCCTGCCGGTATCAGGGTGCCTGGCTCTGAGACCTGGCTCCGCTCCCAAGTCCAGCTTCCTGCTAATGAGCACCCCGGTACGTGATGACTCAAATACTTGGGTCCTTGTTACCCTTGTGGGAGACCTGGAGTGAGTTCTGGACTCCTGGCTGTGTCCTGGCATACCCAGGCTCTTGTGGGTATTTGGGGGCGTGAGCCAGCAGGTGGACAGTCTCTCTCTGTCTGTATCTGTCTCTCTGTAGAGGAAATACAGCCTCAACCAGAGATTAGGAAAAGCAGACCCCTCCTCCTAGCACAGACCTTGAAAAGTGGCTCTTGCAATTAACTAGGGAAGCAGCTGCCCACTGTGATCTTGTCTACAGAGGGAAGAAGTCCTGAGTTCTGCTTCTGTAAACTCTAGTCATAAATTTGGCCTAATAAATCTGCCCCTGGTATCTCTTTTACAAACATACTGGATGTACCGACCATTGGCAGTGTGGTCCTAAGTCACATAGGCTGCAATTTAAACCCACCAGTGCTGTAACAGCTAAGATCTGATGCTGATGAACCTATAAATATTGTAAAAAACTTGGGATTGTCACTCAGTTCTCAGGAAATGATTCCAGCTCAGCCTGCTGGCCTAATAAACGTTTGATGCTCCACTGTCTCTGGTGCCTGTTTGAATGGAGGGAGTTTTCCCACCCCAGGTTTCTGTAACATCTCTACATCTCAAATATATAACAAAAAGTAAATTAAAAAATATTTACAAAGGAAACATATGAGTCATTGCAGGGCTCCTTGGGTTGTGTCCGAATTTCCCAATCAGTGCACAAGGCACAGTCGCGGATGCAAAAGCAGAGGTTTATTTGTTACCAGCCGGCTGGGACCCCCTACCCGCACACAGTCCTTTAGCAATGCACAGGCAAAAGGCCCTCTCGTTTGCATAAGAGAGGTTTTTATAGCCTCACACTTACAAGGGTGCAGGTCATCTGGGTTACCTTCCTATTCTCTATACGGCAAGGTATTGGGACCTAACATGTCCATTGGTTCATTTAAACATAAAGACTATATATGTTATGTAGTGGGAAGGAGATGGCACGGGGAGGCACTGGCGGGAAGCATCGGGCCATAAATCCCAGGGGAGCTGGTGGGGGGCAGGAGGTCATAAATTCCGGGGGAGCATAGCAGGCAAGCAAGCAGCCAGAGGACAGAAGACTCCAACTCCGACACTTGCGACAGAGCTGAGATGAAAGGCCACAGGGGAGGGGCGTGGGACCCAGCAAGCTGGCTTGGTGGGGGTGGGGGTGGGGGACAGTTTTCTGCCCATCTTTTCCTGCCCCCAGCAGAATGTGAAGTTGCTGGCATAGCTGTCAGCGTGGGGAAGTGGCTCAGCACTTGGGTGTCATTGTCATTCCTTGGTTTGTGTGCACCAGGATCTCAGATCCGCCTGCTGCGGGAGTCTGTAAATTGAGGATCTGCTTGGTGGAAAGGGAACGGGAAAGCCTGCGTGATGCCGCCCCCCCACCCCACCCCAAGCTCCCAGTATACCCAGTCCCAGTTTTTCTGAGCCCTGAGATTCTGCTCTGCCACTAGGATCTGCTTAGAGACCTCTGATGCCCTTGGCCTCGCTGCTCTTACATTGGAGAGAGGCTGGGTATCAGCAAGAGATACACAAAGGGTGGGCACAGAGGGGCTGTGTGAGAGATCTCTGGCCACAGGCATTTCAGCCACAGGGAACAGCAAGGCCAAGGGCCTGGAGGCAGGAGGACAGCTGGGGGCGTGACCAGCTCAGGTCTCGAGGAAACACGGGCACTTGAGGCTAGAGGGTCAGCTGTGGAAGATGAAGCTGGGGAATGACCCTGGACGCTGCTGGCTCTGGTCACCAGCCCGGCCCTCGCCCTCTGCTTCCCTCTCCTTCAGGTGAGCCGTAGTTGTCTATTAGTCTCCAAATCCAAACCAGATCCATCACAAAGCTTTTTTGAAACCAGTGGAGCAGTGTTTCTGAAATGCTAATTTGTAAGCACAACAGCTGGGCTCTGGATGGACCTGTCTCCAGGAACACAGAATTTGAATTGAAGTTTTGTCCTGGGTAAGAACCTCAAGTGACAAGTCCTCTAAGCCAGGATAGCGCCTGAGGGTGTCCTGGTTTTCGGTTTCCTCTGGAAGTTTATTGACATTTATCTAATTGTCTTCCATCCAGTCTTAAGTTGCCCATGATATTTAAAGGAGAACAGCAACAGGACTGTATAAAATAACTTCTTGGGGCCTGGTGCTGTGGCATAGCAGGTAAAGCCGGCGTCTGCAACGCTGCCTGCATCCCATATGCGCGCCGGTTCGAGTCCTGGCTGCTCCACTTCCCATCCAGCTCCCTGCTGATGCACCTGGGAAAGCAGCAGAAGATGGCCCAAGTACTTGGGCCCCCTGCATCCACATGGGAGACCCAGAAGCTCCTGGCCCCTGGCTTCAGCCTTACCCAGCCCCAGCCATTTGTGGCCATTTGGGAAGTGAACCAGCAGATGGAAGATTCTCTCTCTCTCTTTCTGTCTCTCCCTATCTCTCTGTAACTCTGCCTTTCAAATGAATAAATCCTTAAAAAAAAAAGTAACTTCTTAATCACACAGTCATATTAGTTTAATGCCCATTTTGCTCAAAGCACTCTAAGAGGCTTGATTTGATGGATTTGTTTATTTGGGGGAAACACAGCACAGTCACAGTAAACAGAGTTGGGGGTAAAGCCTGAAACATAGAAAAGAAATCAGCTGCTTTTCTCCAGGGCTGGACAAAGGCGGGCATTTGACACACAGGTTAGACACCAGCTGGGACACCTGTGTCCCATATCAGAGTGTCTGGCCTCGAGTCCCAGCTCTGTTTTGGAGTCCCACTTCCTGCCAATGTACACCCCGGGAGGCAATGGTGATGGCCCAAGGACCTGGATCCCTAGCACTTACATGGGACGCCAAGATTGGGTTTTGAGGGCCGGCGCCATGGTGCACTAGGTTAATCTTAGGCCTGCGGCGCTGGCATCCCATATGGGCGCCGGGTTCTAGTCCTGGTTGCTCCTCTTCTGGTCCAGCTCTCTGCTGTGGCCAGGGAAGGCAGTGGAGGATGGCCCAAGTGCTTGGGCCCTGCACCCGCCTAGAAGACCAGGAGGAAGCAACTAGCTCCTGGCTTCGGATCGGCACAGTTCCAGCCATTGTGGCCATTTGGGGGGTGAACCAACGGATGGAAGACCTGTCTCTCTGCCTCTCCCTCTCATTGCCTATAACTCTACCTGTCAAATAAATACATTTAAAAAATCTTAAAAAAAAAAAAAAAGACTGGGTTTGGGGCTCCTGGCTCTGTCCTGGCCCAGCCATGATGTTGCAGGCATTTGGGGAGAAAACCAGCAGATGGAAGATCTCTCTCTGTCTGACACTCAAAAATAAAAACAGGCCTTTTGACTAAGATCAAGTATAGTAAAAATAGACAATAAAAGAAAATTCAAACATTATTTTAAAAATAAGTAAATATTTTAGACGTTGCAGGCCAAGAGGCAAAATCAAGGGTATTATGTAGATATGTATACAACAAAAGAGAAAACATATTTCCACATTCATGAAATTCTATTTAAAGTATATCGTGTATAGTGTTTTTTGAAATACAGGTCTATTAAGGAAAATAATGGAATTTTAAAAAAATTTATTTATTTTATTTGAAAGAGTTATAGAGAGAGGAAAGACAGAGAGAGAGAGAGAAAAAGAGAGAGAGAGAGAGAGAGAGAGATCTTCCATCCACTGGTTTATTCCTCAAATGGCCACAACCAGAGCTGGGCCAGACTGAAACCAGAAGCCAGGAGCTTCTTCTGGGTCTCCCATGTGGGTACAAGGGCCCAAGTACTCGGGCCATCCTCCACTGCTTTCCCAGGCACATTAGCAGGGAGCTGGATCGGAAGTGAAACAGCTGGGACTCCAGCCAGGGCCCATATGGGATGCTGACGTTGCAGACAGCTGCTTAACCAACCTCACTAACTTGATGAGAATTTTCATTAGTTCTTTCTAAC